CGCACATCATGCCCGAGTATCCTCCGTAGCACTCGCACCGACCTTGCACGCATCGCCTCCCGTCTCCCAGGCAGTCCATGTCGGACCGACATGTTCCGTTGTGATCTGCCGTACTGTTGGCTATGATGTCCGAGCAGTTGGGTCCTGTGTATCCCCTGAAGCACCTGGACCGACCCCGTCAGTAAGGTACAGGAGCGGCAAGCGGGAGGAAAGAAGACCCCACAGTAAGCAGAACACAGCAGGACCAAGGCTCGCGCCCTCTCTACCCCCCTTCTTCTCTCGCTCTGCTCTCCGAGCCTCCTCTGATCCCCTTGGTCCTGCACCTTCCTGCACCTTCCTGCACCTTCCTGCACCTCCGCTCTCCTTCGGCCTACTGACCTGCATGAGCTGTCCTTCCCGCGACACCGTCCGTGTCCGCTGCAGTTAACTTTGGCTATGCACCTTCCTTCACACTCGCCGCCGTATCGGTTTCTTGTGCAAGCCTCGCACATCATGCCCGAGTATCCTCCGTAGCATTGGCATGTTCCTGAATGACACATTGTTCTGTTTGTATGGATGCAATCTAGATTGGATGCACAAGTGTTTTGTGCTGATCGCAATGTCAATTTTTGCTTTGTTCTTTGCGGAAGATGTTTGTATTTCATTTCAAGACTGGGCGTCAATTTTTCAATCAGATATTTCATCTTCAAGGTTTCTTTTTCCTGTCTCTGATTGTTATCTTCGATTTGGATACAAACTTGCAGTATGCTCAGGATTATGATTCCCTTCAGCTTCATGTTCATTCTCTATCCGCGCATGTGGATGCCTCGTGTTTGACCACAAGAAGGATCGGCTGGCTCAATTTTAGGTTGAGGGATGTACGTTGTTGAATTTGCTCTCGGGCCTTGCAATATTTGCTATACCAAGACTACATGGATCAATTGCCCTTTGAGCTTTCTTTACAAGGTTGCTTTAGCATTATAGCTAGCTCGCCAACCACGGATAGAATATCAGGATCATACAGTCAAAGGGTCCTGCTGGAGATGGGGGTGGACAGATCTACACAAGGGCCTACTGATCCAACACTTGTTCAACAGGAGCCGGGTACTCTTTCGGAAATCGAAGGGTAGGGGTCCCTCCCCAGGTCTCTTTGAAGCGTTCGGAGAGTACAGGGGTACAGGTAATGCAAAACGAAAATAGACTCTTTGAGGAAATCTTTTTTTGACCACAAAGCAGAACGACGCATGTTTACACAAGCCAACATTCCGGTGCACGGACCTAGCGGAGCCCAGCTGCTATATAAATATTTAGAAACTAAAATCATTTTTTGCTTGCCTTTCTGAGTCGAGTTGATTGTGCCCATACGAAATTAGGGAAGATACACTGCAATCAGACACACTTGCACATATTGCCTCAAGACCACTCCAGATGCGATTTCAAGTTCCCTTAAAGTATTAAAGGGAGCTAGATGGCCTCCCTGAGCCACACACAACCTATCGGATATTCGTTAGATACTTTTGTTGGCCGACTATTGTTTGCTCCGGTTTGCCTTTTTAATTTCAGTCATTAAAAGAAAACAGTTGCAGATCTTTGTTTGCTCCCCATGGAACAAAGGTTTCTTTACCCTCATGATAGATGAAGCAGAAGTAAGCATCATCATGAACCGACGAAGCAGCAGCGCAGCTATGGTCGTTTACGCAAACCCATGATTCGAAATCTTCGTCCATCATTTGACCCAGTCCACCTGTCACGAATTCCTGATTCATCTCGCCTTCAATAATCTCGGACCAAGAATACGGCATCGTACAGTTTGAATATTCCTCCCAGAAGTTGCCAGTCCAATTCGAATTGACTGATCGTAAATCTGGTTCCACAGGTGTGTTGGGCACACATGTGATGTTATTCGAGGAGAGCAGGGCCTTGTGATACCCCTGTTTGCATTCCCAGTCACAGCCAAAAGTGTAGCTAGAAAAACTGGGGATACTGATACTGCAATCCACACATTGACTCGAAGTCGTTACAGATCCAGTGAAGGTACAAACGAAAGGGAGTAGAAACCAAGATGGATTGTCATTTATCCAGTAGTGTGTTTTGTTTCGAGGAAGCCTGACAAAGGAGTTAGGGCCCCATACAGAGCCAACCAGCGCAAGATAGTCCTCAGAACCCGCATCTGATGGATGGAAACGTATCGCCGACGCATTAAAGGGAGATCCATCTGTCCACTTAAAGTCCCCTTCGAGCAATCTATCTGTCCCTCCAATCCACACAAACACGCAGGAATAAATCACAGTGCAATCAGACACTTGCACATATTGCCTCAAGACCACGTCGGATGCGATTTCAAGTTCCCTAAAAGTACTTAAGGAAGCTAGATGGCCACCCTGAGCCACACAGCTTGACTCTGCATTTGACCAAGTTTTCAGGGTGTTATAAAGTTTAAAGCATTTAAATTCCTGTTTGCTTGCATCCTTGACGACACAGTCATGAATTCCAAATTGTAGAGCTTTGCCTAAGCTCATAGTCACATCAATTGTTGTTCCAGGAGGACATATAGTATTGTTTGAGCCTTCAGTGATGATACTCGACAGAGCGCTCAAAATGTGATTGGAGATTACAAGAAGTGCGAGTATCATCTGCCAGGACGGCCAAGTTTTGCTACAGCGCTTCTAGGATTGAGATGCCCAAGGTGGATGACCAGGTAGAAGACCAGGTTGCCTCCTTCCTTGTTGGCCCCGCCGTTGTCATTACTACTGTTCAGCATTATGTGTTGTAAAGACGCTAAAACTATTTAGTTCTGTTGGTCATCAATAGGTCCGCCAATGCATTCTATTCGTGGTTGGCCGCGGTCGGAGCTCCGGCATGGGCGCCGTGACACGCGATCATTAGGCAACTCACAGTAAAGGTCCAGTACTTTTTTAGAGTTGTTTTAGAGTAGTAATAATCAACGACTGTCTCAGTTAAGTGAAAAATCAGTACGAGGACACTCTCAGTGTGTGTATACAGCCGTTAACTAACGTACCGTCACGGGCCCCGCGGCCGGGACTGAGTATGAGTCAAGTTAGTTGGACTCACCGTGGCATCACCCTGACCGTCACCGGCGTGGCACTGCGGCACGCCGTCGGACAGTCGAATCACATTATCGGATGCCTACAGTATCATGTCACTTGAGTTAGTGTAGCTCCAGGCCTCCCTCAGTGTCCTGCGCTGCCATCACAGAGTCGCGGGGCGGTGCATTCCGGTATCATGGTATCACGTTTTTGGCATTCCGAGGCTTCGGCCACAGCCCGCGGCCGGGCGCTGGCCGACCGTACATCGCCGCTCAGCCGACATCCCGCCGGCGGCGCGGCGCGCGGCCGGCCGCCGGCCCGGACCGGAAGTTCATTGAAACCGTACCGTTGAACTTCAAGCGAGTCAACGGACAATTCCCGGCCGCCGGGCGGGAATCGGATCTCTTCCTTTACTCAAATCTCATTGAATTGGGCCTGCGCGCACCGTCACTGTTAATTGAACTTGGAAGGTTCGCCGGGCCCGAACGCCGTCGGAAGGCCGCGGCGGCTGAGAGTCCGAGCGGAGTCACACACCCGGAGATGCCAAGTTCGGTATCGGGGATGGGTATGATACTTGTTACGGTTATGGAGTGGTAGCCAGCTTGGGGTAGCTGTCGCCATGTCCTCTTGAAGCTCTCCCACCCAGCTTCCCTGGGGAGGTGAAGGAGCCTGGCAAAGGGTTTTCTTCTGCTAGCATCTTGTCCTCTATGGCATGTAGAGTTGATATTGTCCCCGGTTTTGTCTTGTTGTCGATCATTTCCCAGCTAATTGTTGTCTTCATTCTCTCTGCTATCCATAGTGCAATTCTTTCGGGGCCCCTGACCTCGTCATTTTGCTTTGTAGTTGAGCTATCGTTTGGCACCCCCACTGGGTACACCAAGCCTTTCACTAAGTAATACCCTAAACCCGTAAACGGAGAGAGAGAGAGAAGAGAAGACAGGACCCCATGCTTTATATACAGCCTGATAACCAGGGGTAGTATTGCCCCCCGGGCCCCCCGAGGATGCTTCCTCTGGTCCGATTCCATCAAATATTCAGTGACGGGCCGGCGTAATGGAGTACCGTACCGTTGCTCCAAAACAGTTACAATTTATCACTGAGTCTCGGCTCGGCAAGTCTGGGCTCTAATACGATCATTTGGCGGGCCCGGCGTGCTGAGCACACAGTAAAGTGCTATTGGCACGGTGACCTGGTCAGGGTCGAGGCCCAGTACTGTCATATAAAAGTTAAGTGTCTGACAGATGCCGGACACGAGCATAAGGTCTTGTCCGGCAGGGAGGGCAAAGTTGAGTAAATATTTTGTCCTGCATCTTCAATGAATGCCAAATAATACCTTTGGAAAGCAGGGCATGATTTTACTAGGGTACTTGAAGTATTTAGTAGGGGTAGCATAAAAATTATGCTACTTATAACAATTCTTATATAACAGATGCCGGACAAACCAATTAGTGCATTAGTTTTACTCAACTTTGGAACCTCTAATTGCTCCTACCCCCTTGCCCTGCACTGTCCGATCTTATAGAAATGTGTGGCCCCACCACCCCACCCCCTTCCACAAACAGCTTCGCGCCATTCATGGCTTCTTCACACACATGCTTGTTTGGCAATCAATGCAAGGTACATGATGAAAGCATTCGATTGTATCAATGCTGAAGATGCAAGCCTGATGTGCCATCATCTTTGCGTGAATGAATATGTTGATTCGGAAGGATACACCAGCTGTGAGTGTGAGCAACGTGGGAAAACAGCCATTCCATCAATTCCTCAAGATGCACTTGCTTGCAAGAAGTCATGTAGAAGGATCTAATCATGGCACAGAGTGGATGATGATGATGATGATGTGATTTTGATGATGCTGAGGAGGTGGTGGTGGTGGAGCACGAGCTGGAGCACATGCAACAGGACGAGGACGAGGAGAGGACGAGGACCGTACGGAGAAGAAGGGTGCCTTTGGGGAATGGAATCTGTAAGAGATTGGATGGGAAAGAGATTGGATCTGTAAGAGATTGGTCAACCCGAAGACCTCCTCTTGGAATTCTGTAAGCCAACTGATTACTTGTGTGAGAAGAGAGCATGTTGCTTGTCAGCTTCGGAGTTGAGCACGAAATCGCAGTCCAACCCCTGAGAAGATCAAGAGTTGCTGGCAAGACGGGGGTTGGTTTCTTTGTACATGAGGAAATGCTCGCACCAGCAAATGTCTTCGTTGCTGATAATGAAGCAAAAAGCTACTTGAAGTTTCAGTCAAACATGTCTCTAAGGTCTGGCGTCAGGCATGTTTACAGAAGGAACAACCACTCAAAGACTTTCGGTGGAAGATTGATACAACCATATATTGGAGTCCTACAAAGGTCTTCATAGATGAGGCGGCAGATGGTGTCACGAAACTCAGCTCGGGAAAGGATGCAAATCCGTTGACGGAAGAGAATTACATATGCATCTGCATAGGCATAAGAAGATAGGATCGTGGGCAGCCTGACATATGTCACATTGAGTTGGGATGTCATCTGTAGATCCGTGAATACGGTTCAGATCCTGCTGCATGCAACACATCTGATGGCAAGATGATCATATGTTCGTTGGTGTTCCGAGCCTGGAGGATTTGAAACGCAACATTGCAGAAAACAACGATTCAGTCGCAGGCATGCTGAAGGAGATCCCGGAGATAGGGCAACATGCGACAGAACACCAGGAACAGGAAGAGGAACCTGACCTCGGAGACGTAAAAGCTGGCGCACTGCTGAATCGGAGCACTGTACAGTGTGTCAATGGCGATCGAGCTGGCGTTCGTCACACTGTGACTCAGACTGATCAAGCTGATCTGAAAACGATTCGAATTTCTGGTGAAGCGAAATGTTTCAACAGTGCATGGAATCTGTATCACTCTGGCAAACATGCCAAAGGGATACCTCCTTCGGAGAAACTGCAACGAGCAAATTTTAACAGAGCATGAAGCAAATGGTTTGCAGGCATAGCTTATCTCATGAAGTGCTTTGACCAATTCATCCGGCGAAGTGTAATGGAACTGAATTCCTTCTTTTTTATAGTCGGTGAGAATCTTTGATGTTTTTAAGGCCGAGATGAAACATTCAAGAAATATCCAAAGGATTTCATCTCGTGGCTCAATCAGAGAGAAGGGGCAGAGAGCTCAAGTGATAGGAGTGGGCAGTTTGCACAGGCAACGTACTTCAAGAAAATGCGAAAGAAAGAAGCAACGCGACTAGATGAGATCAGGTGGTCGTTCGAAATGCGAATGATAACGAGACTGATGGCTTAGATTTTGCCTGTAATTGGATGGTTTAAGGTTTGCAAAACATATAATTCATTGTCAAGTGACAGTGAGTGATATCATAAGTTGTAATAAACACAAGTTGCTCTGGTAAATCTTGTGAAACCTCGTTAGACGTTGCTCAGTTCTGGGTCAAGCAGCGAGATGGAGCTCAGAAATTTGGCTAAGTGTTTTTGAGTCTTGGACCTCTGAGGCGGGTGTGTAAGTGTTTGAGGGTAGGGAGGGTGGGTGGGTGAGGTCCTAAACTGGTCTTTGGGTGGGGTAGGGGTCATATTCGGAAGAAGTTTATGTGAATGAGCACTAAACCTCTCAAAAAACTACAAAAGTGTATATATTTGTCCGGACTATATCTTACACCTCTAAGTTAAAAAGAAAGCGGCTAATGCACATGAGATGAGCCAGGGATATTGAAGTCCTTCAGTACGCGCTGAAAGAGTGTAGGTAGACATGCAGAGAAACATGTTCTTCGTGATGTATCTCATACTAAGCATCATCCCTCTGCATGGTGAATCAACACAGTGTTCTCCATTCATCTTGCCAATGCCGAAGAGAATCGTTGCTGTCGGAGATTTGCATGGAGACATTCATGCGACAAGGCAGGCCTTGCGACTAGCTGGGGTTTTGCATATGAAGCGAGATGAATGGATCGGAGGAGATACATTCCTGGTGCAGGTAGAGTATGTGTTTCCTTGAGAATGATTGACGTGACAAGTATAAACAGGTTGGAGATCAAGTTGATAGGGGGGATGATGAAATTCAGGTGATGTCGCTTTTGCATCGCTTGGGCAAGCAAGCGCGAGCCGAAGGAGGGAGGGTTGAGGTTCTTGTCGGGAACCATGAGCTAATGAGCGCACAAGGAAACTTCAGATACGCCACCAAGGGAGCTATGAGGAACTTTCAAAGGTGGTCGAGTATATGTCGTATCAAACGATTGATGCCACCTTTCTTGTCACGTCATTTTGGTTGTGATATCTACCATGGCATGGAGGATTGTGGAGATGATAGTATATGCACTCGGAGGCTAGACAAACTTGAATCTGACGCTCGTGCAAGATATCTTTCCTTGAGATCTGGAGGGACGTTTGCATCAAAGTTTCTCGCCGAAGAGCGAAAGGCAATCCTGATTGTTGGTGACACGGTGTTTGTGCATGCTGGTCTCCTTCACAAACACTTTAAAGGAGAGATATCATCGACGGAAGCAATCAATGTATTGAATCAAGAGGTGGCTGCCTTCTTGAAAGGCGAAAGGCGAGCTCCTCCTTCAAAAACATGGGGGAATGATGGAATATTGTGGACTCGACGATTCTCAAAGATCGATTTGTGTACGGACACTTGCAAACAACTTAAGAAAACCCTAAATCGACTTCCAGGAAACGTGAGGAGAATGGTGGTGAGTGTTCTTTCCTTGTGAAATTTCCTTCAATGCCGGTTTCTGTCAGGTCGGACACAGCGTACAGCGAGATGGTATCAGTCCTGCTTGTGATGCATCGGTTTGGCGGATTGACGTTGGTATGAGCAAGGGCGTTCTAGCAACTTCTCCGCAGGTATCTCAGATTTTGGTTGAAAATCTCTCTCATGCTGATCCACAGGTGCTTGAAATCAAGCAAGATGGCAGCGTGAACATCCTTGGAAAATCGATTGAGACTTGAGAATCATCCGATGGATATGGTTTTGCTAGAATCAAATTTGAATCATGAATAGTTTGTGGATGATTGTTTTTGAGTAATTTGACATGTGAAAGTCTCTGCAACTACTGCATGGGTAATGTTGATTTCCTGATTCTACGCAAGCCGAGGAGCTATTTGATGTTGCAATCGATGCTGTATGACAATTTTCAGATTGTTTGACGAATTCAAAGAATCCAAACTTGAATAGTCGAGTTGGCACACAGTTACGTTTCAGTGCATTTCCTGATGTGTTCAAGGATATCTTCTGGCATTTTCATGAGAGAACTGAGTGATGCATTCAGTTTGGAATGAGTGATCGTCAGGAGGGGGTAGATCAATATGATTTCTAATTGCATAGAAATCTCTACATTGCAGTATGATAACCATTTAGGGGTTGTTCATAGTGCCACTCCAATTACCAGCCTCGGAGATCACAGCAGGGGCAGCGTTGCATGCAACATCCCCAGCAACGCAGGAGTAAGCCTCGATCTCAGAGTGGGTGTAGGTAGACATCTCCACGGGACCACTCCAGTACTTGGAGACGGTAGGGGTCACGTCTGAGGTGAAAGATTACATGGTTTCACTTTGCAGCCAACTTTCGCAGTTTTACCATTGAAGAGGGAAACGTAGCAGCGAATGTCCTGAAACATTCTGAAAAGAACAGTCATTCTTGCAAGATATCAAGGTAGGGTGACAAGACAAATGGATGAAATGAAACATGTGATATTTGATGAGTTGATTGAAATTCAAAAACATTGTGCTTACGTTTCCAAACAAAAAATGATGAGTGTGCTTGTACAACAGTTTTGTTCAACAATGATATTGTATTGGAATGCTGCCCTCACTCTTTCACCTTTGACACGGTTGTCCGTCTGATCTCGCTCTTATTTGTCTACCTCTACAAGCTGTTTGTGATAAACTTATAGCTCAGGACTGTAGAAGGGTTTAGGGTTTGCCCGTGTATTTCAGGCACTATGGCTCCGCGCCAGGTGTAGGGGAAGCCGCCAGGGCGCGGAGGAAGCTGCAAGCAAAGGTTTGGTATAGTTCAAACAGCCTTCTAAGTTTGGTTTTTCAGTTTGATGAAAGTGTTCGCAACCTGCTGTATCGGAGATCATGCCAATACACGCAGGGGAGCTTGTAGATGCCTCGACGGTCCTCGTAGCTGATCTGGTCGAGGATGCACCCCAACGGCTATCGCAAAAGCCATACGCTCGACATGTCAGCAGGCACGACGTGTTACACTCTCTGGATGCGATGGAGTGACGCATCCAGATAGTGGTTTATGCAGCAGATGAAGGAAGCCAAGAAGCAGAAGGTCGAGACATACACTGCCACAGCAGGCAACGAGGTGACTTCCTTCATCTCCATGACTCTCCTGGGTATCTCCTCGGTGTATGTCAACCACGAAGAGAAGCTGAAGAAGAAGTTCCGAAGAGATCGGACTGATCGTAGACTCAGTGCAAGAGAGTAAAGCGATCATGTGGAAGGCTCCGTATCACGGCATAGATCCGAGATAGCGAGTGCTGATGAGATCCCGGTGACTGTTTCCTTCCTCCGCAATGCACAAGCGGAGAAGCTCTGGCAGGGAAGAGAGGACTTCAAGATCGACGGTCGCAAGTTCACCGTACGGTCCGCCGTGCCGTGACTCCGATCACTCGATGATGTCATCAATTCGAGCCTGCCGAGCTCGGAGCCAAGAGAGTGCAGTATGTCAAAGTGTAACTTGCAGACATCATATTTGAAGGCAATGCCTTCAGCCTGGCAGTCATCAGGGTTGTCACACATCCTTTTCTTCTTCGTGTGTGGAGAGAGCGACACAGAGAGCGACACTGGAAATCACACACACAGGCGGACTCCGAGTCAGCCGCTGAGCGGCCCGGAGTCACTCAGAGTCACACTGCCAGGCTGACTCACGTTGGCAGGCCTAAAAGTTCCGAGGGTATCCGTTACAACAATTTATTGTAACGGCGGTCCGATGGTCTCGCCGAGGAACGTGCCCTACCCCACCCGGGTCGAACCCATCACATTGATTATTCAGTGGGTGGGTGGGGGTGAGAGGAAAAGGTTTTATGGAATCTGTCTAGTGGGTAGGGTGATCATCACACCGGTCAATTACAGTCAACTAAAAGGTCTGGCACAAGGGTGGGTGTTTTGAGTTGGGATCCTTGAAACCGTGCAAAGTCGTATGAGAGGGTAGGGTCGTCGAGGAAGAACGAGCCATGGCGGTGATCAAATCAACAGGAGTCGACGTGCGAAACCTGATGTACAGGATGGTATTCCGACGAACATCCACGACCCTCATCTTCGTGATGGGTGAGTATACCGACCCATGCTTTTGTTGTATGCCGCTTTGTCCATCTCAATCGCGTGAACTTGTTCATTTTCCTAACGCCTCTGCTTGCTTCCACGCATGCAGCCACACCTGCATGTAACCAATCCCCTTAGTTTTCTTAAAATGCTTTCGAACTCTTTTGAGATTTTGTTACACGATTCATCTCTACCCTGATCGTCTTCCTTTCCAAGCGTCCCCCCCTCTCTCCCTCGCTCTTTTTGTCTTAGTATTCATGAATTTGGAAAATTGAGACTGAATGATCAATCAATTGTGCTGTATTATTCATCATTACGTTTTGCTTGCAATTGCAACTTTCAACAAAATCAAGAAAAGCTCTTGTGATGACGTGCATGAAAAAGCTCCGATTGGGCATAGGACATCGTGTAGCACATGGTCTTGAAGATTGATTTAATGTAGATTGTTGTTTTATCAGTGCACCAGATGCTTGCACTGGCTTTACGTTTGGGCAACCCGTATTGATATTTCACAGGTGGAGCAATCGCAGGAGAATGGGCATTGAATAAGGTATTTGATGATCTCTGGGAGAGAGCCAACAAGGGGGTGAGACGCTCCAAAGCATTTGTGATGATACCTTATCAATTCATTCTCAGAAATTGGCGCATCATCAACCGTGGTTTCAAGCCAAGTAGTCTTTTCAATCTTATGGCTTAGCGGTATGCACTTCACTTCTCGCAATAAACGACGATTTGTCTGGGAGTTTCTTTGCTTCTGATTTTTCCCAAACTAAGTCTTCCCATATTTTGCCATGTTTAATATGTTGTTGTGACGTGAAGCCACCATTATTCCATCCAAAAAAAATTGGTTTAAAGTCAATAGTTAAAGTATAGTAAGGTTTATGCTAGTAACAGGAGCTCGTACAAGCTTACAATCCTTCGTCCATGTCATGCACAGAGCTGGGTGTCTGAAAGCTCGCAAATTAGCAGCTCTCAACAGCATACAGTCACCACACCTGCTTGGAAGATTCTGAGGATTGAGCGCGGCTGAAATCGAAGAGAGAAGCAGGAAGGAATCGCTGAAATACACCGAGGACAAGCGAAACGGAACCTGAAAGCTATCTCAACACAACCAACGACAGATAGCCACTCCGCATCTACCAATGGCAAGGCACAGAACCCAATCATATACGTCAATTGGAACTGTTCGGAAAACTTGTCCTCCATAGTTGACAGACAAGACCTACAAACCGCCATGCCTATGATATTGAGAAGCTCGGTTGCAATTGTGTTACCTGGACAATGGCGCAGAAAGTCCAGATTCCAACAAAAATAGGATTCTTCAGAACTCCATCAATCATATTGAGCTCGTTGTAAATCCGGCGGCAGTTAATTTCGTTAAAAAGCTGTAGAGATTGAGGCTACATTTTCTTCAATTCAAAGCATCACCTGCATCCAAACAAACGAGTTGTAGATCACAGTATCTCTGTAATTTCCGTTCGTGTTCTTTCCTTGTCCATTGGGCTACATCTTGATTTCACAAACAAGAAGGACAAACAGAACCATTCATACCAACAGCGGAACACATCCAGGCACCTTGGAATCTGAATGCTCGGAAAAATTAGTACATTTGAGGATAACAAACAGAATCACCGTTGGTGCAATCTACCAAGAAAGAAGCTCCAGCCCAAAGCAATGAAAGCTGAATGACCAGTTGAAAGATGGACTGAATGTTCTCAGTAAGAGGATCTCTTGATATGTCACGGTGTTTGGCAACCTGAACTGTGATATTTCGCCACATGTACGAGTTGAGCAGTTTGTCGTTCCTTCCATATGGCTTTCCTGTTGAAGACGTCTGAGAACGATGAATGCATTACAGATGTAATTACTGTCAAGTAGATCTGGGGTTGGTTCTTCTGTTGCCAATGCTAGTGCTCCGAATGTGTCCATGATCAAATTCACCCACAAGAGCTATTGACTGAGTCAGAACACTCGTTGCAGCACAATCATATTGTCATGAACCTGAACTGGCTTCAAAGGAGTGCCAAAACCAGTCACAGCGCCGACCATACAGATTCCAAGGGCGACGACATTCACCTTGTCACCTTGTCAACATTAAATGCTTTTCATGAGAAACGTACCGTCAGCTGAAATTGCAAAAATCGTCTAATATTATCATAGACTGAGCGTCCCCACATAACCGACTAAATGAACAAATAGCATTACATGAATAGAAGTAGAAATGATCGTGCACTACCTTCTCGATGGATGAGAAATTGTCGTCCATGATTACTATATCGGAAGCCTGATGGACAAAGCTTGAGTTCACGACTTTGAGCTTCAACACGACCTCTTGCGCAACAGCCGTTCCCGAGATTCCCATGGACAGGCCGACATCCGCTTCCTTGAGAGCTAACGAATTCTTAAGTTCCAATTTGAAACTTTTTGCAAGTAAGTTGAACCTGGAGCATCATTGGTGCCATCTCCTGTGACAGCAACGACCTTTCGAATACATCTCTTACTGTCTAAATGTCGAGGAGAACATAACTTACCTCTCCCATCTCCTTCAACCTTTGCACAAGAGTGAATTTATCCTGAGGACTGCATCGCGCCAAAACCTTTCAATCAAGTAACCATCAGTGAACGACTGTAGAGCCAAGGAAGAACCTGAAGGGTTTGGATTTCGCCGTTGGGAAGTTCTTTCACTTGAAGAGCTTCTCGTTGTACCTGAGAAGGAAAACAAAGTGAATTCATTCGTGGGTAAATTCTGAATCAAAACCTCTGGAGAAAGCCTACGGAACATGGGCCCTTCCATGGCAGTCCCTTCCATCGTCAGGATTCCACATTCCTGAGGATAAAGAATGAGGATTATTGTACAAGCGTCAACACCTAGGACCTTGGCAATGTTCTTTGCAGTGAGCAAACTATCGCCAGTGCACATTCTCACGACGATACCTTGGAAAAAAGTCCTCTTCAGAAGAAATTTCGCAGGACATGGACAGTAGGCACCAGCTCGTCGACATTTCTTCACAGCATCCGTTACTTCCTTCCTAAGTGGATCTTTGATTCCGCAGATACATACGCAAACCAGCTCCTTTTCCAACGCGTCCGAACCCTCTGCATATCTAAAGCAGGTGTAAACCTTTACCGTACACTCTCAGAGAGAATTTACGTTGGTATCGCTTCATTTTCAGCAAGCTCTCTATATGCGCATGTTAAGGTTCTCAATCCCTGAATGCAATTGTAAGGTAGTCAAAGTCATGAAAAAATTACCTGTGAAGCCATCTTTGAAATATATTGCATTACTCGTCCCCGAAGCTCATCCGGAAATGGCTTTACAACTCCATCATGATCGACATACTTGTCACAAATTTGCAACATAACTTCTGATGCACCCTTCGTGAATAGCCTCTTTTTTTCACCATTCTGGACGATCGTGCTCATTCTTTTCTTCAAAGATGAAAACGGATAAGAACGAACAACAGGATACTTATCTCTGATTGAACGATAATCTAATCCAAGAGTGCGAAGGAAAAAAAGAAGTGCTCCTTCTGTTTTGTTGCCGATGATTGTCGGGTTACCACGTTTGCCATCAATTCCAATGTTTGCCTTCGAGTTACAGGCGATCGACTCAGCAATAATGCTGACTGCGTTGGTTGACAATGCCGGGCCAGGTCCAGCTGGATTGGGCAAGTCGCCTTCACTTGCCCATCCAGCGAAGTACCCATCGGTCACAGTCATTTGATTCTGTGTCAACGTCCCTGTCTTGTCCGAGCAGATATTGGTACAACCTCCCATTGTTTCGCAAGCGGCCATCACTCTCACCAGATTCTTGTCCCTTTGCATCTTCTTCACTGAGTACGCAAGTGCAATGGTAACTGCAAGTGGTAGCCCTTCAGGCACTGCGACCACTATGATGGTAACTGAATCGATGAAAAAGCTAACAAGATCTTTCAGTTTGACGAAATTCCAGTTTTGAAACGAAGTCATCCAGAAGCATCGATATTTCCCAACTACTGTATTGACACATTGAATTTTGTCATTGAGGCCGGGATAACCCAATTGGCAATTCTCTCGAGGAGAGGGATTTCCAGCATCATCGGGATAGAAGCAAGTCTCTCTTCCCAAATCGATAAACCATATGACCAACTGGGCAAGAAAACACAAAATTGCCACTAATGTGCCCATCTTACCAATATCCTCTGCCAGGACAGTCAATTTCTCTTGCAATGGTGTTTCATCCCGTTCAGTGGTGAGTTCTGAAAGGATTTTCCCCCATTCTGAACGATATCCCACTGCAACGACTAAGAACCAGCAATCGCCACTTGTAACAATGGTTCCGGAGAGAATGAATGGATGATCTTCGTTCTTCGCAACTTCATCTGATTCGCCAGTCATTGACGACTCATCAACCTTGCAATCATTTCCCTTCACAAACACGCCATCTGCTGGAACCTAGAGGCAATTCAGAAGAAAGCAGGGTATGAATATGATGTACTTTAGCTCCAGCTTCGAGGAAAACCAGATCGCCAACCATCAACTGCTCAGCCGACAGCCTGACCTGCAATTCACCTTCATTTTGCGAGATATCGTGTCTTGATCAACCTCAATTCCATTTCGCTTCACAGTAACATCACAGTCATCTTGCTGTGCTTGAAGGGCTCGAAATTGTTTTTCCTTGGCCATCTCGTTCCAAGCAGTGATGTTTCCTACAATCAAGCATGCGATGATAATGGCTGCTCCGTCAAGCCAACTTGAACAAGCTCTGTCTGAGAAATCTTCTCTGGAAAGATCCACAGGTCCACCCCAAATGGGTTTGCGCGGGCAGGATGCCCCAAGATCAGCAACGCACACGAGCACTCCCAAAGAGATGCTGGGCTTTCCAGTCAGGCAATCCAAAACGGAGTAGAAGTTCCTTACCTGACGGCTGCAGCAACCAGCAAGATGATGACAGTAGTATCCTGCATAGCTTCCAAGAAGAGGCCGATGTATCTACTCCCTTTGTTACCTCTTCGCCAAAAAAGTGCGATCTACACGATTTTGCTTACGTAGGTGGAGGAGGCCTTTCCACCTTGTTTGCACCATACCTGTTATACGAAAAATCCAAATAACCCATTCGTCAAAGAATTTCCAAGACTTTCTCACTTCAATTTGCGTTGTATGTCATCAGAGCCAGTGAGGCCTTGCTTGAGACTTGATCCCAGACCTCTATCACAGGAATGTATCAATGTGCAGCATGCGCTTCAATCAAAAGAAAACCTGGCGAGGGCCTTAACGCCACCCAGTTCGTCGATTCGAGCCTTGCAATCCAAACTTATGAGACTGAAAACATGTGCAAGACAAGGCCACCTTGTTTTTATCAGATACAAGCTCTTCCAGCATTTCACTGCTGAATAGCATGTTCCCAAGGACCTGGCACGAGTTTGTCAGTGCAAAATCATAGTGCTTCTGTCTCTCACATTGTCTTGGTGTCCCAGCTCATCCATGAACGCAATACCTGCTGCTGCGCTAATGCGTTTGAGGAAAGACGACCCACTGGAGGAGCCCTTGGAAGACTGTGTCTTGCGAAGAGGTATCAAAGGTTCGTCCATCTCGTGTGACCTTTGGCTCATCTTGAAGAGAATTCAACCTATGGAATACATCATTAGGTTCAATGTTAATGATCTTTGACTGAAGGTCTTTGAGTGGTCGTACAAGGGGCTGAATGCATGATTCTTCTTATGACAAGAGGAAGGGCAAGGAGATGGGAACGATATGAAAGTCATTTAGTTATAAAACGACTGGGGTAGTGAGACAATGATGAGAGGAAGGTATTGAAGAGAGGATGGGGATAGAAGATACGACTGCAGAGATCGCAAGTTAAAGGATGAAAGTAACGTCTGCAGAGATCGCAAGGGTAACAAACAACACCCACACTCAAAGCACTAAACCCTAGACAATCAAAGCACATGCAGGCAGAGCGCATGCACGCGAGAGCTCATCGCCGAGGAAGAGGCGCATGAACCGAGGAGGGACGTAATATTAGCCAAATGTGCGGCACTGGCGCGGGCCGGCCGGGCCGCGGCGGCGCGGGCGGACGTACCCGGCGTACGGTCACGTACGGTAGTACGCCGGTCTCTTTACTCAAAGTTAAGTTAAAAATCAGTACGAGGACAATCAGGAGAGTCGAGGAGGCTTGACCCTGACACTGTCGCACAGGCCAAACGGCGAGAAGAGAAAAGACAGCGAGAACCAAACCCAATCCCGAGAGAGAACAAGCAGAAGAAATCCTTGCGCAGTATCTGCAGGCGAGCGTCATCTCGGCAAAGCTCGGGCAGGAGCAGGCAGGAACGAACAGGGAAAAGGAAAAGGCCTCCAACAAGAGAAGGAGAGGAGAACGAGAGGACAGCGCACACGAGCTATCTCCACCCAAGAAAATAGCCAGACAAAACCAAGGGAGAGAGGAAACTATCTTTGACTCGGCAGCCGCACACAAAAGAAAACAAATCCTCAGACCCAACAATAGAATGGTTGGACTCTCAGCGTCGCTGGACTCGGCCGGGCTCCCTTCACACTCGTCTGCACCAAGGGAAGAGGACGATAGCAATCGAAGAGACGGCAACCAAAGAACCCATCTAGCAGAGATCAGATCACAGAATGCGAGACTGACATCAGTTCCTTCCGCAACTGGCCGATCCTATACGCACACCCTCAAGCTCTGGTGACAGACAAAGCCTCGGAGCCAGGGAGCCACACAGAGCGGTGGTCTGGATGGACAAAACGGCGTGATTCCGCGAGCAAATTCTGGACACAGTACAGGTCATTCTGCTAGGATAGAAGAAAGTTACCGGACGGATTTCAAGTAATCAACCGATTCCCAAAGGGCGCCCAGATAGCCTACGCAGCAAACTATTGGAGGACAGGGAATCGCGGCCTAACCCAGGTTTATGGTTTATGGTTTAGGGTTTAGGGTATAGGGTTTAGGCCGGTTTAGGGTTTAGGGTTTAGGGTTTAGGGTTTAGGGTTTAGCGCCGGTTATTTCAGGCACCATGGCTGCACGCGTGGTGTAGGGGAAGCTGCCAGGGCGCCAAGGAAGCTGCAAGCGAGAGGTTTGTATACTTCAAATAGCTTTCTAAGTATGGTTCTTCAGTATGATGAAAATGTTCGCAACCTGCTGTATCGGAGATCATGCCAATACACGCAGAGCGGACTTGTGGATGCCTCTGTCCTCGAAGCTGATCTCGTCGAGAGGGTGAAGAGCTTCGCGAAGCGTTATCCGAACAGCAGGACAGCCCAGGCTTGCAAGGCTGTGGAGGGATGCACCCCCGACGCTATCGCAGAAGCCATCCGCTCGACATGTCAGCAGGCACGACGTGAGCTTCTCCAAGAAGCGATGACTGGATGGAGTGACGCATCCAGAGAGTGGTTTATGCAGCAGATTGAAGAAGCCAAGAAGGAGAAGGTCGAGACATACACCGCCTCAGCAGGCAACGAGGTGACTTCCTTCATCTCCATGACTCTCCTGGGCATCTCCTCGGTGTATGTCAACCATGAAGAAAAGCTGAAGAAGAAATTCGAAGAGATCGGACTGATCGTAGACTCAGTGCAAGAGAGTAAAGCAATCATGTGGAAGGCTCCGTATAGACCCGAGATAGCGAGTGCTGAGGAGATCCCGGTGACTGTTTCCTTCCTCCGCAATGCACAAGCGGAGAAGCTCTGGCAGGGAAGAGAGGACTTCGCGATCGATGGTCGCAAGTTCACAGCTGTACATGTGAGCATCGTGCACGATCGATCTTTCAAGATTCGAGCCAAGAGAGGACCCTGGGGCAAAGGGGGCAGCTTGGCAGAGCTGACTCACCTGCTAACCTTGGGCGGCATGACAACGGCTGAGATAGCTGCCGTCTATCGCTATCAGCTGCTGCGCCAGTCCCTTGCAGCGGTCCAACTCCAGCCGCTGGCAGGCATGCTGGTCGCTGGGGCGCCAGGACAGCAAGTCCACAAAGGCTTAGGTCAGAAAGGCTTCATCGCTGTAGGGGCCAACGTCATCTGGAGACAGAGGGAGGTGGAGTGGATCGTCTCCTCGAGCTGCCCAGAGGCGAATGATACAGCATTTCGAGCTTTCCGAGAGAGCGAAGCGATGGAGGGAGTACACCTGACTCTGTTCAGCGAGGACCCGAAGATCAGAGAGGCGCTCGCAGTCGAGTTGACAGCTGATCGCTTTGTGTCCAGAAATAAGTTGAAGAAGGCATCAAGGATGCAGAAGAAGGCAGGCGGCAAGGACGGCAAGGAGATCAAGATCATCATCAAGTCGACGGCGGCATCTGGTCGCTTCACGAGGAAGGAGATGGAGGGGCTGTGCAACGGCGGCAACACGTCTATCGCAAGAGTCAAGAGAGTCTTCTTGGAGATCGCTAACAGGCTCGAGATCAACGTTGAAGGCATCGACATGGAGGAGGATTTGAACACCAAGTCCTGGAACGGGTCCAAGCTATGCATCCTCCTCGGCTCCACGGAGGATGCTCGACGCATGATGAAGGAGCTGCCCTTCTATCTCGAAGGCGCAGCAACCAAGCTCGAAGCAGTCGGCTTCGACAAGGAGCCTGACTCTGAGGCGGCTGGTCAGCGGGGCACCAGCGACGCAGCGCAGCGACCGGAGGAGAGCGAGGGAGAGTGGCTGGAGTTTACAGACCTGGAGAGGATCACAATGGAGGCAGCATCTCCGTCAAGCCAAGAGGACATGCAGCTCGTCAGCGAGCTGTCAGCAGTCATCGAAGATGCAGCTTCTTTGAACGAGGCAGGGACGAGCGAGCCGATCAAGCTGGTCCTGGACAAGGCCGTTGGCAACCTCCACGACACCTTCTACTCTCCGGGGAGCCTGGAGTTCATGTCGCTGGGAGAGTGGGCGAAGATGCCAGAGGAGCAGGGAGTTGGGCGCAACGCTCTCAAGGAGAAGCTGGGGAAGTGGCTGCAGAGCAAGCGCTGGACTCGCGTGCAAGGAGAGAGCAAGAAGGCAAGGAGAGGCAGCGCGTTCTCGCCACGGGCAACGGCAGCTGCTGAGCTTGAGCAGGAGGCGGAGAGCGACGACATAGAGCGTCGATCTCTTAGCTTCCTGTTTATAGCACTGAGTAAATTCGCAGAGATGCATGTGCTGGCCTGCTCGCTGAAGGTGGACAAGAAGGACCGACTGCGAGTGGAGATGAGGGAAGATGACGAAGAAGAGGAAGACATGGAGGAAGAGCAAGGCGAGGGCGAGGAAGAAGACGGGGCGAGCCCGTACCGAGCTGAGC